TTGAGGTCTGCTGTGCCAGCTGTTTGCGCAGAGCTGTGGCAGCACACAGGGACAACACAGAAAGAACACACACATTTAGCCACACTGGTGACCCACGACTGCTGATCTGGTAAGTAAGCAAGCTATCCTCTGTAGGAATTGCGATCTAATATCTTGCATGCTTCTTTTTTAGGTGCTGGTTTATTTTTAACCATCACTTGGTTTCTTACTTGCCATTGCCTAATATCATGGCTCTCATCAAATGCTTGATTCATTATTTGCTGCTCTACAGCCTGTTGTGCTGCAGGTGCTCCTTAGACTGTACCCAACCAATATTTGAGACTGTTTTTTAGGTGGTTGTTGCCAGTGTTTTTGTAGTTTCCCAATCTGGGGGGTACACAGCAGGAGTCTGATACTGTAGCCAGATGTCATTCCAAAAAGCACCAGCTGCACACAGTTTAAGCAGGTAAAACTGTAACCAAGAGGAGTGACAATGAGAAGTTTTCTGTAATGCACTCATCTCAAGGTGAACGCTTCCATCTGTTATAGACAACTGTGATGTGCTGCTATTGAATAAGATGTAAAAATGAGATCCTGATGACTTGCTGTCAATAAAATTCTTATCGCACTTTTTGCTGCAGGATGGGTTTTAATCTAAGACTCAGTTGTTCTCAACCAGTGTTACATGTACCCCGGCGGTACCCAGAGGTCTTCCGGCGGATATATCAACTCATCTAGATATTTGCTAGTTTTACAACAGGCTCCATAAAAAGCACTAGCAAACTCAGGATAAAATTTCATGCAGACAATTACTTATTTATTATACTGAAATGTAAGTTCAATATTTATATTCCAATTGATTTATTTTATAATTATATGGTTTAAAATGAGAAAGTTAAGCAATTTTTCAGTAATAGATTGCTGTGACACTTTTGTATTTTTATGTCTGATTTTGTAAGCAAGTCGTTTTTAAGTGAGGTGAAAATTGGGGGCCTGCAAGACAAATCAGACTCCTTAAAGGGGTACAGTAATCTGAAACGGTTGGAAGCCACTGGCTAGGTCATTGGTTGTCAACCTTTCCAGACTACTGTACCTTTTTCAGGAGTCTGATTTGTCTTGCATACCCCAAGATTCACCTCACTTAAAAACTACTTGCAAAATCAGACATAAAAATACAAAAGTGTCACAGCGCACTATTACTGAAAAATTGCTTTCTTTCTCATTTTGTCTGTATGAAATTTTAGTTTGTACTGACTTCGCTAGTGCTTTTTATGTAGCCTGTTGTAAAACTAGTAAAATATCTAGATGAGTCGATGTACCCTGTGGAAGACCTCTGCGTACCCCCAGGGGGTAGGTATACCCCTGAATGAAAACCTCTGATCTTGGTGACCTGACCAGATTCCAGTTTGGTTCATTACACACTATCTGTCTAAATTTGCCTTGTAATTTTAATTGGATATAGTTGTGACGGGGTTCCTAGGTGCAGCCTGGACTGTAGGACTGCTGAGCCCTCTGTCCCACCAATCTGGGCTCCCTCTCACACTGTGATGTTGTTGGCAAGCTACTAACCTTTGGCAGGTACTGCACTTACACAGACATCCAAGGACTCACCCCACTGAGTTACATGAATGCTTCTCCCAGCCACTCATGAACCAACAATAGAGAGGCTCCAGCCAGTTCCCCCCAGTTCCCCAGCCTTGCTCCCCTAGAATATACGATCTTGCCCTGATCAGAAGCCTGCCTAATGTAAGTTCATTAACCAGTATGTCCCTCCCTTGATGTGGAGAGGATATACACTAGCCTTTGTAAACTGAGCTGAAATTTCCCAAGCAATGCAACCAAAACACACTGTTTTAGGTAAAATATAAAACCAATTTATTAACTACAGAAAGGTAGATTTTAAGTGATTATAAGTAGTAAGTGTAGAGATCAAAATTGGTTACCTAAATTAAATTCACAGTCTGAGTTCTATAAACTAAACAGGATATTAATCGAGGAGTGTCTCATCCTGATAGGTCAAACAGGTCACAAATCTTCAGTGCACAGGCTGTAACTCTCCTCCAGCCCGGGACCATCTGCGCTAGTTCAAAGTCTTTGTCCTCCAGACGTGTTTCCAGGTGTTGAGTTGTGGGGGGAGTGAGGCCAAGTGATGATGTCACTCTCCTTTTATGGTTTCTTCCAGCTTACTGGAAAGATCTTTTGGTGTGACGTGAATCAAGCAACCTCCCTTGTATACGTGCGCTCTCTGAGAAGTCTTCATTGTACACAGTTCCTGGGACAGCCATTGGGAGTGTGGATTTCTTTTAATGGGCCATCAGTGCTTCCGACTACTCCATTGTAGTACCTGAAAGGCTGGTTTTGGGTGTTCCTAACCTCACAACATATTTCAATAACACACACACACACACACACACACACACACACACACACACACACACACACACAGACAAAC